AAGTATTTTAAGAAAAACAACACTTATCTTTACAAATTAAATAACTAACTTAACTAATTTTTTTAATTTATTCAAATTAATCAACTAACTTTTATGTTTTGATAAGAATGAAATAGTGTTTCAGGCGGGAGAAAAAAAAAAAAGACGTTGTGTTAATAAAAACAATGTGATGAACAGTTGGGCTGGTCCAACCATTAAAGATCAACTCGTTACTGACACGGTCTTTAGCCATTCAATTTTCTCTCGTGTCCTGCTAGAGACAATATGAATGTATTCTTAATTTAACTGGTTCAACCATGGATTGGTCCTTAAATTCAACTCGTTGAACTAACCTGCTTTTTTTCGGAACATACTATTATTGAATCTGTTCATAAGGATTAATTTGGGGTAGTTTTTTAAACAAATTAGTTTAATAAACTGAAAAATAGCTTAAGTCATACTATCTCCGGTCTTTAATATAAGAAATTGTTTGATTTTTATTTTCATCATAAATATAAGATCCTAATTCACTTTTGTCTCTCATATTCATCTATTTTTTTCGAGATGGTCCTCATAATAATGGTAGTTCTAACTAATGCATTTGATTAACAATGATATTTTAGGAAAGACAACATATATTTATTACAAATAATTAACTTAACTAACTAAGTTTCTTTATCTACTTAAATTAGTTAACTAACTCTTATACGTGAAATTTAGAAATACTAACTTAGTGTACTTAAAAATACATTCACCTATATCTGTTATGATCACTCTTTATAATACTCCTCCGGTCCTTAATATAGGACCCAATTGTTGAGTTGATTTTGGTCCTAAATATAAGACCCATTTATCATATTTATCAATTTTCTCTAAATTACCCCTATGGATACTCTATCAACCATAATCAAGTAGAAGATAGAGAAGAGTATTAAGAAAGATGATTATGGTATTTTAGGAAAAACATGTCACAATTTTTATAATTAACTAACTTACCTAACTTCCTTAATCTAATCAAATTAGTTAAATGGGTCCTATATTAAGGACCGGAGGAGTAAAAGGTTAACAGAAATAATTGCAAGATAGACCAGAGGCTGCAGTACTCATATATATATTTGTAACCACTCTTACAATTACGAAACTAAGAGATGGAGAAGAACCAGGAGCATTGCAGATAAAATGACAAGCTACAACGGCTACATGAAAGAAATAAGAACAGAAGAAACTCCATAGTCACAGACTCACAGTGACAATGGCCAGAGAGGAGAGAAGAACGATAGAGAGGAATCACCCCAATAATCTTCACTGCCGTAAGCCCCCCATTTCCCTCCATCTAAATACCCTATTCCACTCCTCATAAGCCCAATTACTGCATCTTGTGGTCCATTAGTCTTAGGTTCACAGTCGGCCCACTTTATGTTGAGCCCATTCATTACAATATCTTGAACATTTATTTATAAAATTTAGGAACACTTGTAAATATCAATGATGTTTAAGTTATCTGGCAAAATAAACGACATTTAAGTTATAAAATTAAAATATTAAAGTACTAATATTTTAATAAAATAATATTAAAACAAAAATAAAATTTTGATTGCTTATGCTGCCAGCCACCTGTGGCGACGGTGATTCGATGATGAACTTATAATTGACTGAAGTTGATCAAAGGGGTTTCAAAAATGGTACTGCCTGTTTGGATAGACGAATGAAGTTATTTGGGTTAATTATTTATAGCAAATATAAGTCCAATTTTTCAAAGTGTTTTTTTTTCCCTTAAATTATGACAATCCTTGGATGCAAATCCCCTTGATATGTCTAATAGGTACTTTAAATAATGAATTATAAATTTAAAAGATGAAGTGGGTTGAGGTTTTAATTTAATTCTAAATATAAGATCTTAATTCGTTTTATTTTTAATATTTAGTCATTTTGCCTTCAAGCAATCTTTACGGTTATTGTACATGTGAAAGAGTTATTATCAAAAGTAATTCAAATGGATATAATTAACGAGGATATTTTGAGAAAGATAATGCATATCTAATTTTAAAAGTTGATTAAAACTTTCACAATCTTAATCCGTGGGCGTGCAATCCTCTTTGGGGTCTTTTCTAAAGTCAGTCGTGGGAGATGGAGTTGGGGCACTGGGTGGAAGGGACTAAGTCATGTCCAAACGAAGAAAAAGTCAGTCGCCGGAGACTTGGAGTAGGGGTTGAGACCTCCAGTCTTCTGATCTGATGCGTCCCCGGGCACTGGGTGGAAGAAAACCTGATTAATGGAGTCCGATAAGACAGACTTATTGGCCTGACTTGGGTTTAAGCTTGTCCCACACGCTGCAATAAATCTCACAACCAGAAGAACACACTTTTCTTATCTCGGTGGGTCCGAGACTGAGGCTGAGCGAAACAAGAAATTTGTGGTTCCTGAAGGAGATCGAAGGGGAACACGCAGCATGCAAGACCAAGAAGCCAAGAACGGTGACCTGGGAGTGGGGGGGAGGGAGAATCAAAGGGGCCGACAATACCTAGCTATTTGAACGGGAATTATATTGGTTTCAGTGGTCATTTCTTTCAAGACAGTTATAATTCACTTATTATAATATTACTTAATCTGCTTCTAAATAATAAATACATATATATAACGAGATATTTCGTTTGATATCCATCTTGCAAATTTTTTTTAAAATACTCTGTTAACGCATTTTTTTCATGTACCATGATACATATTTTCAGTATACATTATAAGCCACAAATTGTAGAATATAGACTGAAGCCAACTTGCATGGCACATATATTTATGTCCGCATTTTGGTCCGGTTAGCTTTTGTTTTGCTAACGATTTGTTGCTGTTTTGCAAAATTTGCATGGCATATATGTTCACAATGGCTTAATTTTCCACACAAGCGTAAGAATGAGAATGTAAGACGAGCACTAATTTGAGAGGTCCTTAATTATTAGCATTAAACGTACATTAGGAAAACCGCGTGATAAGGTTACCTTGGCACAATGCGTGGAAAATTAGCCAATTGGGAGATTTAATATTCACCGTACATAATTCTCAAGGCTTAATTTGAAAAAGGTTTCATCTATCATTATACATATATTTTATGCTGTTTTTTCCCTTCAATATCTTCATTTTACTTTTTATTAAATGCTATATGTAATTGAAAACAATTATTACAACATTTGTTTATGATTTCTTCGACGTCAACTACAAATATGGCGTTCTTATCAATTAGAGATTGACATCTAAGAAAGATCATCATCAGAAACATTTCTGGCGGCTGTCTAATTAATATTTACTTCCCTTTCAGGGCATGTCCGCAATCCCGTCATGATTTCCCAGCAACATCAGCTAGAGAGAAAAGGAAAGTGAGTAACGTTTACGCCGTGCAGTTCTTTGAATTTTAGTTTATCTTTTAGATATACACCAAGTTTTTTTTGTTCTATTTTGCACCTTGGAATATTATTGTTGAAAGTCATTTGTGTGTGTATATATCATCTTGTTTTGGTGGTTGTACTTGGCAGAGTGGACTCGATGAAGCATTTGAGCTTGCCGGGACATTTGCAAAAGGGTTTTCCATTGGGCAGGTTCTAGCGCAATTGTTCTAATCCCTGCTCTGTCCAATTTTCCTCGACAACGCACGCGGATGGTTTGTTTTAGTGCTGTCTTGTGTTGTGTTCGTGAATAAAAACCATGTTTGTTGCTGGATTCGTTTCTATCTTCTAGCTGACACCTCCACCATATAGTACTTGTTAATTCATTTGAGACCTTATCTATTATCAACTTCTTAATAATTTAATTCCAGGCGAAAATGAAGAACATCGGTCGGAAAATTTGGGAAGTGATGTCTTGGATATCGGCTATACTGGGTGTAATCGTCACCATACGAGATTTAGCAAATGGCGGATGAGGTGGCGGAGAAGATGACGGAAGAGATGACGACGACGGAGGAGATGACGAAAATGACAATGCTGCTGCCGGTGCTAATGATGATTCCAGACTTTCCTAATTCTCCTCATGTATAAGAGTGATTAATTTGCAGTTTTAATCTGCTGCCATGTCAATTGCTTCATAAAAGTCCAGCTAGCTTCCTTTGTTCATGAATGAGACTGTAATATTGAAAGGGCCTATGCGGTTTAATATTAACCGCTCTATATGACTCTAATAGATAAATTAATATCATCGGTTATTATTTATCAGTCCTATTTCTTAAAATATCTATATTTATTCACGAAGTCCATTGACGATTAATAGACTGACTCAGGCATTGTTTACTGTTTGGGGCCCCCAGCCTATCCTAATTAAGTAAATATTCACCAAAAAAATATTATTACCGTGACAGCATGCACACGAGTTCAAGATACCCAGTCAAATTACCTATATATAGATAATTATTTCATCAGAAAATTTTTCATATAGGGTTAATGTAATTTTTTATCTTTCAAATTTTTTCTTATTTTGATTTTAGTCCCTCATGTTTTAAATAATAAGTTTTAGTCTATTTATGAATAAAATAGTTCAGGTTTTTATTGAATTATAAGGACCAGTGTTTTGAATGAAAAGAAACTTTAATGAACAAAATTTATAGTTTGAAATTTGAGAGACCAAAGTTATATTAACCTATTGACATATTACTGTAGATCTCTTAAAGTTATATTATAAGCTGCATCTCACTAATTTTTGGGTTCTAGAATATAGAGTGAAGCCAACTTGCATGTTGCATGGTATATCCATACATACATGTGTGTGTGTCTGTGTGTGTCTATGTACGTACGTAGATAAACTGTTGATGTGAATTAAAATCCCTTAGTTCGAAGAAGGTAATAGGGAGATAAGAAAGGCTGGAAAAAGCATTATAAGCCTGACTTATTGAGGTCAATGGGGAAAAATGGGGGCGGCAAGAGTCAATTTCTTGGTCGGCCACTGAAACATGTGGGCCACTCAGTTCACGAATAACGCTATAAAAGAAATTAATCTGCAAGCATAACATGAAACGAGGGAGGAATTGGAGAGGAGAGGATCAATTCAATATGATGGAGGGCACAAAGAAGGCTGCAAAAGCTGTGTCAAAGTCTGGTCAACCTCAACAAGTACGTGAATCCATCGACACTTAAGAATCAAATATTGTACTTGGTATTAGTATTTGATTTTTTTTTCGTAAGCAGAAACCAAACCCTTATTATTATATCATCGTTTTTGTCCCCCCCCCCTCCAGGAAAATCATTCCCGATCCGATCAATCCAGTCCAAGTACTCCAAAGGTGCATTATTATTTGATTGGTGTTTTTGATTACACACACACACACACACACACACCTGTTCGTGCGTATTCTGAATATTGATTTCGTAATCGTGGAGACTAAAGAGTAAAGGAACGTTTAATTCTACTTAAAAGACTACTCCCTATTACATTTACAAAGCGAAGGCAATATTTTTTATCTTATATTTTCCTTTTTTTGCGTGTGTGTTCTTACCTAGACCTTAACATTAATTTACAATATACAACATTTCTATGATACTTATCGTATAGTGTTTGTGCATGTATGTACGTATACACATTCTTCCCCTGACCTTGACATTTAATATTTTCTCACAAAGACTTGGCATTCCTTTCAATCCAGTCCGAGTAGTCCCTGGGAATATTTGGCTTTGGAAATCATATGATTTTTTGTAATTAAAATTAGCATCCAATTTGCTGGGTTTGTTTGTTTTCAGAAAAAGGCTTCTGATAAATCCGGTGGGAGTCGCAAAGCGAGACGGAAAGTGAGTAAATCTTTCTTTGCGTTTTCTTTTCGTGGGGATTTTGATCTTGATCTAGTTTATAAGATAGTACTACTTCCGGTCCTAATTATAAGATCTCGTTTACAGTTTATAAATAAGGTCTTATAAATAGGATCGGAGGTATAAATAAGGTCTTATAAATAAGACCAGAGGTAATAGTTGTTAATCCATTTGGGACCTTATTTAACTACCAACTTAACTCCAGGCGAAATTGAAAAAGATAGGTCGGAAAATTTGGCAAGCGATGTCTTGGATATCGACTATACTGGGTATAGCCTGTGCCGTACAAGAGTTAGCAGATAATGCAGGAGGAGGATATGACGGAGGAGGCGGCGGGGAAGATTACGAAGAAGATGCATGACCAAGACGACAATGCTGCCACCTATGCTTATTAATGATCACCCCTAGCTGACGTTCCTAATTCTCACGATAATACAGTCCGGTCCTTAATTATAGGTCCCACAAATAAACACTGTGATTTGCAGTTTTAATTATATTTCAGTCATTATAATGAAAGTCTAGTTTCCTTTGTTTTCGAATGATCTCATTACGGGTCTGTGTCTGCCTTCGTACGTGCTCCTCACCTGGGGACTGTGTCTGTGTGCATGTAATATGGAAAAGGGCCTGTGTGGTTTAATTACTATTCCATAAGTTTAAACTTTATTTCTTGCTGTTTGCTCTTGATGACTTCTCTCATTCATGTCCGCTGTGCATTAATATTATTGCCTAACTCTAATTTAACTTGGACAAATATTACTATGGTTCAAAGTTTTTTTAATATCTTTGACTTGTTGAGCAATAAATTTATTGTTTGATGATGATGGAGATGCTCTGTGGTCCAACCTTAAGAACCTACTCTATCTCTCTGTTTCATGAAAGAATTTCATAAAAAAAATTGAAATTACTAAATATTCTTCCGATTCTAAATATAAAACATATTTTGTACGAATTTTAATCTAACTGATGAGATATAAAAGTTTGCAAATCAGCGGTCAATTATTTGTAAATATCTGTTCAAGAATAATTATCTGTAAACCTATTTCGTACGTGCGTTAATGAGATTGTGTTTCTTGTGGCCCCCGGGGGGGGGAAGAGGTCGTGTTAATAAAAATCATGCGATGAGGAGTTTGACTAGTCCAACCATTAATTATTAACGATATATACCTATCTTAAGTGGTTTGGAGCGGATTCAACTGGTTGCTATCCTCACACATTCTTTAGCCCTTCAATTTTGTCCCATGTCCCGACTATGGATCAGTTCTTAATTTAACCAAGTTACATATGGCCCTACTTAAATTCCCAACCACACCGGAAGATTACTAATAATTATACTAAGTTACATATAAAAATTTAAAAGTTGATTATAATTTCTTGAATATAATGTCAATAATTTGTGGGCATGCAATCCTCTTTTAATAATTACAACTTTAAATTCAAAGGTAAAATTTTCTAAAACATCTACTAATTAAAAAAGGTTATTATAAACTCAAGGGGTGGTCAGAAGAGCGAGTCGTGGGAGACTCGGAGTAATCCAGATCCGCTAGTCTTCGTGTTTGTCATCTAGGTAAAAAACAAATCTCACAAGACTGACTTTTCTTGGCCATGGCCTTAGTGGGGTTGGAGCTTATTCCACACGCTGCTGAAACAATTATCTCACAATCATCAGAGCATACTTTTCTTGGGTTAGAGTCTGAGCGAAACAAGAAATTTGTGGCTCCTGAAATACATCGAAGCGGAACACGCAACATGCAAGAGCAAAAGAAGCCAAGAATCGTGGCGTGAGAGTGGGAGGAGAATGAAGAAAAAGGGATAATATTGACTGCAAACGAAGTTTTATAACTAGGACCGGATGTATTACTATCTCTGATACTTAATATAAAAGCTAATTGATTAATTTAAGTATATTAATAAGTAGACGTTCTTCCCACAATACTCTTGCTTGCTAATAATATGTATTAGATAAAATTATCATTTTATGAAACTTCTAATATGTGCAACTATATATTATTAGGAATATTTTGAAAAAATAAATGAATAAATAGAAGAAACAAAACAGATTTGAGTCTTATATTTAGGACCGAATTGAATGTATCGAAGGTAATATTATTGGTTATTTGTCAGTCCTGTTTTAAGAAACGGTACACTACCTGTAAAATATATAGATTTATCCTAATTGAATGAACATGTCTTGCTTTTCACCCTAAAAATATAATTACTATGACAGCATGCATATGAGTTCAAGATATCCAGTCAAACCTAAATCTGTATAACCGGTTTGGATCCAATCTGCGAAATTGTAATATTATCGGATAATTTTCGTAGGTTTTTTTCACTGGACTTGTTTATTTGATATGCGTCAATAATATCATTATCGTCTGTTTCTTTTTTAATATTAATATCATTAAATTCCAGTTAATTTGATTTTCAACCCTAAAGATTGTTTATATATATCGGAACCTTCCGGTACGCGCATATAATCTCCTCATGAGATTAGTCAAGTCAGAACGTTTTTGGAGTTCACTGTCAGTCTGCATGATAATTTTAAATTAAATTAGTTAAGGCCTTGATTAATTAAACCCTCCTTTTTTTTTTTTGGGAAAACGATAGCCAGACACCTAAATAGAGTTTTAGTGTACAAAAAGTCAAGTGAAACCATATAATTAATTCTATTCCAGCTGGATATATAATTTTGCAAGCAAGAATTGAACATTGAGCAATAAAACATTTGGAATATAATATTTTTGCCTACTGTTATTACTTTGTGAAACTTTGTCTCGATATGCATTATTAATATGTTCCTTCCATATCCTCTAATTCTAAATATAAGAATTAAATAATGGACTCGGACACTTGTTTAAGCAAGAGTTGAATTTATTACCAGTAGACTTGGACAACAAGTGGTTAATAAATTAAAGGAAAATTAATCTTTTAGTCCTTGTACTTTTAACTTAATTGTGACTCAATCTCTCAAACTTGACTCGTTATGACTCAGTCCCTGTAGTTTTTAAATTGTGATGACTGGGTCCTTGAAATAGCTAAAACTGGGTGAGTCCCTGAAAACTCGTCCACGTGGCAGAATAAAAGCTGAGATGGCATCTTAATAAGCCACATCAGATTCTTAACTGGAAAACGAGGGAGGGAGAGAGGGAGGCGCGTTGAAGAGGAGGTCGTCTTCTTCCCTTAAACCAGAGCACGCCGATACTGATCTCAAATAAAAATTCATCACTGTCGTCTTCACTGGGCTGCAGAGGCTGAGCTACTATTCTTCTCCTTATTATCATAAAAATTAACAACAAAATCTATCTATATAATATTTAAATGGAGGTGCGAAACTTACCCTCCACGTTTGTGGAATCAGTCAGCCACATCATGTGTTTACTCAAGGATATGCCTCTCATATATTGCATACATTGCTGCCCAAAGAGTTTTTATTTGTTGGAAAATTACCAACACTAAACCAAACGCATTTGTCATAAATAACCCAAGTTACCTTCAACGAGTCTCTCTGTCTCTCTGCTTCTGTTGGCATCCAACTCTAGAAGCAGTCCCGGCGTCTCCTCTCTCCTCACGTTGTCACACCTTGGTCAGAGGAGAAGAATACACCAGAGAATGATCCTCCCTCAGTGAAGACGAAAGTGATGAACTTTTATTTCAGACCAGTATCGGCGTGCTCTGGTTCAAGGGAAGAAGACGACCTCCTCTTCAACGCGTCTCCCTCCCTGCCTCCCTCGTTTTCTAGTTGAGAATCGGATGTGCCTTGTTAAGATGCCATCTCAGCTTTTATTCTGCCACGTGGATGAGTTTTCAGGGACTCACCCAGTTTTAGCTATTTCAAGGATCCAGTCATCACAATTTAAAAGCTACAGGGACTGAGTCATAACGAGTTAAACTTGAAGGACTGAGTCACAATTGAGTTAAAAGTATAGGGACTAAAAGATTAATTTTTCCATAAATTAAATATCCAGAACATAGGCCGATCGAATCCGGAGCTTACATGGCCTATAAAACTGTTGGATGTAAAATCCCAGAAGAGAGCAGAAGCAATTTGAAGAAGCTAAGGTTGGGTATGGAAGAGATAAGAAGTGCTGCAAAAGCTGTTTATGCGAACTTGAGCGATGAGGCCAAAAGAGAAACGGTGGATTTGTTCAGGTCAGTGGACAAAAATGGAGACGGCAAGATAAGCCTTCAGGAGTTCCTCACATCCTCCCACAACACCACAGTACTGCTCGGCGGCAATAATCTAACGGCGAATCGCAGGATCTTCGACCTCGTCGATCAAAACGGCGACGGCACGCTGCAGTTTGACGAGTTCTTAACTCTGGTTTACATGCGGGCGAGCCCCAGGCCATGGTGTAATGGCTGCGGCAATTTCATCGCAGGTTTGTTTTTCAGCTGTACGCAGTGTCGTCTGGGGAACAAAGGTGTCTGGGAGATGACTTTTGATCTGTGCATCCCATGTTATCATGGAAGACGATTTGTGCATGAGCATGCTGATTTTGAAGACAACTATTCGCTTCTAGCCAGGATGCAACACTCGCCGTCATCCCCATCCCCATCCCCGGTGCGTTCCTCCTACACAAATATTCTAGACCCCCCCCCTCTCTATACATATATGTGTACTTTAATTTCTTTGATCCTAAGTATAACAATTAGTTGAAGTATTTATTTTTGTTTGCAAATTTATAATTTCTTCTGAATTCTCTTAATTAATTATATATATTAAGGGGTTTTTAATGAATGAACTAGTGGTATTAATGCAACCAATTAAAATGAATACTTTAAGAATACCATCATACATATGTGTGTTGTTTAATAAATAATTAACTTGATTTTTTTTTATTTCAGCGAATTAGCTATGTAATTCTTGTGTATGCGAACCTGAGCAGAGCATTAGTATGGGTGGGTCAAATGAAAAGTAATTGATTTAATCTATGCTACTATTGTCTTTTTGCCTTTCCAGACAATTAGCTCTCCTCAATCAAGTGATGCATCAAATCGAATGAAGGTGAGTACATATATACTTCACTCTTTTTCTTTTTTTTAAATCTCCTAACTTCAATATGCTTCTTTAAATATAGCACTCCAACCAAATCTATTTCACATGTTTGTTAGTTTCTTCTAAATTACTCTTATTGATATTTTTTTAATAATAATCAGGTAAGAGAAGATGAGAGAGAATTAAAACAGATACTTGATTAGGATGTTTTAGGAAAAACACATTATATTAACTAACTTAATTAATATTTTTAATCTATTCAAATTAATTAATTATGTTTTATATTTATGACCAGAGAATTAGTATTAATCAAATAAATATTACCTTGTTCTTTTTTTTAGTGGAATTTTCTTTTAATGACATCATCATAGCACTTCACATAATGTTTTGTTTGGTAACAGTAAGACCAGAGAGCGGCCTACGTATTGGATGAAATTATAGTTTTAATTTTAAATAATACTACCTTTGGTTCTTAATATAGGATCTCATTTGATTTTTATTTTAGTTCTAAATATAAAACCCCAATCTACTTTGACTCTAATATTTATGCATTTTTTTCAAGATAGTCCTTCTAACAATGGTAGTTCTAGCCATTACACTTGATTAACAATGATATTTTAGTAAAGATAACACCTATTTATAACAAATAACTAACTTAACTTCTTTCCTTAATCTCTTCGAATTAGTTAACTAGTTCTTATAATTAAGACCAGAGGTAATATAATAACATCGGCAGTTGTTTTATCAGAATAATTAATAATAAATGTCGAACTGAATCATTGAAAAACAGGAGATATATAATATTTTAATTTGTGGGTAGGAAATATACCAGATATTTAAGGGAATGTTTGTTTCTTATGGATGCTGTCCCTGTTGTTTACTCTTAAAATATCCAAACTAAAAAAATTATCGCTCGTCGTTTCTAAATAACGAATGACTCAGGTTTTTCTTTAAAGTGAAAACTATTTTTTTTTTTTTACTTGCAGACCTACACTACATGGATTAATAGTTTTTTTAAGCTGATTGCAGAACATGCTTCGATCTAATATGATTGTATAGAACATGCCACAACGATGTATTAAAAAGAAGAAATTACATTATTTTTCATTACTTTTTGTTAATTTCATGAGGATTTTAATTTTGTTGATTTGTCAGGAGAAAGTGAAGAAGTCATTTCGGAGATTCGCGGATGTAGTGTCCTTGGCAGCAGATGTTGACCAATTGTCATCCCACATCGCATGATCTGCTGTTTCGGATTCGACTATGGCTCGTTAATTTTAGGGGAAAACTATTTTATAAATATTTATATTTTCTTTAATTTTCACTTTGATATCTATACCTTTTTTTCTTAATTAAATTATTTAATTTTATTTTTTAAAGTATTATTAGCTCTTAGATAGGAAGATAACAATGCTAGCATGGCAAAATTACAAGAACTACCAGCATTAACAAAACAAAATTAAAGAATTTAAAATTGAGAGAGAAAAAAAGAAGAGGTGCCGGTTGAAAATTTATTATGAGAAATTATGGGCATTTGCAAAAAGATTTTCTTAATTTTATACTGTAAGAAAGATTAGTTGTTTGTTTGTCTGCATAATTCTTCGTGACAATTTTGAGCAGGTCCCCGCGATTTAAAAATTAATAAAGCCATTACTTCTAACTTTGCATATTTAATTTGTAAACATTTAATTATTCATGTGTCACCATCTTTTTGTTGATTCATTAATCCAAACGAAATTCCAAAAACCACCTCACAAGCTTAAAGGTATGGTAGCCAGAAGTTTCAAGTTCAATCCTGCAGATTATTTGCGTACAGAAAAATTGTCATTATTATCATGAATAAAAATTTGCTCAAGTGCTAAGAAAATTTTGAAAGTCTTATGAGCTTTAATTGCCTTCAAATTGTTTTTAAAAAGTATTTTCACAGAAATTAAAATAAATTTTTTTATGCATACTATAAAATTATTTTTAAAATTATGATTTAGTTTTCATCTAAATATTGTTTTTAGATTGATGAGTAAAAATTAAAAAGGACTTTCGACTTCGCCGAAATATCCACACAAGCTTACATTTGCATTTAGGATATCGCTATAAAAAAAAGTCATTGCTCGAGCAGAACCCCGAGTGAAAAATCAATTTCACTCATTCTAGCAGCAATTAAGGGGGTGTTTGGGAAACCCAAAACCATAGTTTCAGAAGCACTTTTCCGCAAAACGAGGTAATCTCCTCCACATATTTACTTCGTAATCCGTAAAAACATTTCTGAAACCATGGTTTGGTTTCTATCCAAACACCCCCTAAATCAAAGAAGGGAAAGATTGGAAGCTACGGCCCCCTAATGTCATACTTGATAATCGATATCTTATGGACAACATTTTTTCTGTTTTTGTTTTGTTTTTAATTTTTGCTAGTTCTTTCTGTTTTTTTACCCCTCCTTCTGCAAAAATTTTCCCTCGTTCCGGCGGTACTGTGTCAGATGATCCGTTTGTAAAGTTGAATGCTTTCTTGTCTGTTGCCGAGTATCTCAGTGTTTCTCGCTTTCTCTCTGTTTTTTTAATCAAGTGAATATCCCATTGTTTGGTCGTTTTAGTTTCTCCGTTATCCTTTTGCCACTGGCATCCTGTCACTCTGTGACCGAGTGGCGGGAACGTGACACTGGAGTTCTGTTTTCAGAGCCCAGTCTCTGTAAACACTCTCAAACCCTAGTCTTTACTCGTTTAGTAGGAAATATTGCTGTCATATTTGGGGAGAAATCAAAACGTTCATTAAGCATTCCGCAATGTACCGGCTAGCAACCAGAAGCATAGTCGTTTCATCACCTCGTTGGCGTTCCCTTGCCCTCTTCCTTCGCTCTCCAGCACCCAGATACTGTTCATTCGTCCCTTCACGGGTCCTCCTGTAATGTCCCTCTTTCGCTCTTGTTCCTGAACTTGTTCATAGGTTACATTTGATTTGTATGTGCATTTGGTTCTGCTTCATTTTGTGGGAACTCCTAAGGAGCTCTTTAGTTTTGCCGTTCTTTCCTACTTGGAAAAAAAAATGGTACAGTTAATTGTTTCTTGCTCAGGCAGGGCCAGCAATATATCTTTTATCTCTAGGAACAACTCGGCGGAGCATTTGTGCTTCTTATCTGTCATTTTGGATACAACTACTAATAGCATTGCTGGGCCTAAATAGAGATGGCGCCTTTTTGTCTTTTTAATACTTGAACCGTCGGTTTTGGTTGAAGAGTATCAGGTTTCTCTCACCGATGATTCTAATTTGTCATTTTGTCTGGGAGAATGTTTTATCATACGTTTTGAATTTAGTCGACAGGAGGAGGGGGAGAGGGAAAGTTGATGGGTGCATGCGCGTATTTTGAATCTGAAGGTTGCAAGTAAAATCTCATGTTATTTAAATCACACTCCCCCCCCCCCCCGGGGCCGGGGGGAAGTATTAAAATCATACTTTACTTTTAGGTGTGTATGAAGTGTGATAAAAAATAAGTTCTTTGATGAGCAATGCTATGCATGCATGGTGGATGAAAACCTGATAAAAGCACCTTAAAACCACAAGCATGTTTTGCAATCTGATGATAACCTAAGATAATATGGGGGTTGAAGTTGCTGTTCGTAAAACAAAGAAACTAAAAAAGGAACACCGAGATTTCAAACAAAGAACAAAGCTGCCCACTCCCTCTTCACATCTTCCATCAAAAAGGCCTTTATTATAACAACAAGATTCTCTCTCTTTACCCAGGCAAAAAATTTCTCGCTTTCTTTTAGGAGGCTGTCTTATCCTCCTTTCATGAAGTTCTCTTTCTTTGTCAGAACGTTTCTTTTTCTGTGAAATAATAAAAGAATGAGCTTAAACAAGGTTTTGAATTTGAGTTTTATGGATAAAAAAGTCATGTTGGAAGAGTTTCCCTTATCTGGGACTTGATCCCGCTCGAATCAGAATTAGTTGGTTGTACTAGATAGCCAAGTTGAAGTTTGCAATGTCAGCTAGAACCATAATGGTTAAGATCAGTTCATGATATAATTTGATACAGATTGTCTGTTCTACTCTTTCAGCATAGATAAAATATATTACAAAATCATCAATCCAATTGTAAAAATAATGGTCCTATTTGTCAGTGTTGGTTGATTGAATAGTTTCATAGCGCGGCAAAAACTTAATAATGGAAGTTTAATGTTTTACCTTGTATATTACTTTTTTTTGGCATAGCATCTAAATTGCGGAAATTTTTGAACAGAAGAAGTGGACATATTCAGAGGATATCTTGTTTCAAAGATGGGAAGATTTTGAGGGGAAGCAGTAGAGCAGCCAAGAAACATAAATCTCCAAATAATAATTTAGATGATAAAGATCTTTCTAACATATTTTGGTGGAAGGAGGTGCCAATCATTTCCATGTTTAGTTAAATCTCGAGATTATGCATAATTGTTTAAATTATATTATTTTTAGTGAGATATTGAATTGAAAGCTATCTTCCATGTCCTTTTTGTTCCCGTCCCAAAACTATGGCAGAAGATGCAGATGTGCAGAAAGCCTTCGACTACTCAGCTGGTTAAAAGGCTTGAATATTCCAATTTGCTGGGCTTGGACCCCAACTTGAAGAATGGAAGGTCTGAATTTAAAACATTGATGACATTACTTTTTCCTTTTTCTTCAGTCTTTATAACTGTCAGATGAAGACATTGGTAGCTGGGTTTTCTTGTGAGACATGTTTCTGAAACTTTGAATACACAGTTTTTAGGGCTTTACAATGTGCATATGAACCATTGTTTAAGGTCTCTTGATTCACTTGGTTTAATTGTGTTTAGACTTTAGACATTGCATACAGGTTTGACCTCTAATATGATATAGTGTTATGGCCATATAATTAATGATCATCTAAGTGCTTAATTGTCATATGAATAAGAATAACAGATGAGAGGAGTGAGTTAGGAAATTATTAGGCTCGAGGCTCTAGATGGACCAAAGGATGAGGAAGGCATCTCTGTCGGTTAATGGAGATTCTTTTCCTCCAAATCTCTCTCTCTCCTTCTTTCATCCCCCCCTCATGACAAAATCGAATTAGAGCAGCAATGCACCAGCCAGCAAATTGCACATTTTGATGTAGAAAAGGCTATCAAGAACGGAGCAAAAGCTGTCAAATGTAGAACTGGCCGAAGGGATGCCAAAACGGATGACTCAGTCAAATCAGTCAACAGAATCAAATGGAAAGGGCATCAGGCATTAAAGAATGGGAAAAGATTCTTTCCCACCTGACCCTTCTGCAAAGGAATTTCTGAAATTCAGCTGCGAGGAAGTTCTTGGCCGGATTTTGAATGGGGAGGTATATACCCCAGCGAGCAAAAGGAGTTTGGGATCAGTACATAAAAATCTGGGTCAAGAATTGATGCAGCTAAGACAAAATGGAAGCATTGAAGAGTATCAAGGAGTTTCGCAAAGTAAAGATATCTGAAGATCTATTGACTGATTTTTTTACAGCTTAATCAAAGGAAGATATAACTAGAAATGTAAGACTGACCGGGCAAGAGCATTATTGGACACTCTGAGGGGTTTCATTACCTGCATGTGCTACGGATAATTTCATTGTATATTTAGTCTTCAAGACTTCAACTAAAGGAAAAGCTGACTCTCAGCTCTTTATCAGTTTAAGCCAACGCTTAGGCACCCATGTAAACTGTTTATTGTTCTGGGGAATATTGAAAAATATTTCTTACTCTCTAATTCTAGCAATGCTATTATTATTGTTAACTTGATGCAAATAGAAATTGTCTTGCATGCAGTCTTAAAGAAGGAACTCTCAACTGGGAGATGTTGCAGTTCAAATCCAAATTTCCACGTGAAGTTTTGCTCTGCAGAGTATGTTGTGTTTATCCCTTTTTTTTTTTGGCCGGGGGGGGGGGGATTGTGATCAGGCATTGGTAGAACAGTTTCCTTGTCTAAATAAAGCCTCGTTTGGTACTCAGATATGATTTCTGTGTCTAACTTAAATGTTGTGCATTTTTTCCTGGTAATTTGTCGCCAATTTTTCAATTTTTGCTCAGGTTGGAGACTTTTATGAATCTATTGGAATAGATGCTTGTATTCTTGTTGAATATGCTGGTTTAAACCCTTTTGGTGGTATGCGGTCAGATAGTATTCCAAAGGCTGGTTGTCCTGTTGTGGTAATGGCCTTTTGCTCTTGTGCATGTCACTTGTTTTTGAGATTTTAATGTTTTTTATTGATGGTCTGATTGGTTACCTTTATGCTGAAGACGATGGATAGGTTTAATTGACCTTTTTTTTTTTTTAAAAGATGCTGGAGATGGGGATAATAATCATATTAAAGAAAGGAAAAACAGAAATTATTCCAAAAAGGAAAAGTTGAAAAAAAGAAAAAGAAAGAAACTAAAGCAGATCAATACAATGTCTGAAAACATGTGACAAAAATGTCCAATCTTTCTGCCTATCGGACAGAGACACACTTTTAAGTCTTTCAATTTTTCACCCTGCAAACTTTGAAATTGATGTAGAATTGAGGAACATACTCGATTTTCACCAAAGACCCAACAAAGTTTTTTCCATAATGAAATCACCACTTAATTGTGTAAAAATAAAGGAGCAATGGATTCCATTGAACCCTTTTCTTTTTGGTGGAGATGATGCTGCTTTTGTGCTTTGAAAATGCTATCAAAGAAATTGGTTCACTTGTTCCTGCTCCTTTAGACAGGGTCTGAAGTTATTATTTTATCTTTGCCTTTTCTATTTTCTTTCTGTATCTTTTTTAATTTGTACTATTGATAGTTAATGAGGATAGCATAATATATAAAATCGGATAAACATTGCTCTGTGCAGGCAGCAATGATTCTTTTTTTTTGGTTAATATATATTTTTTAAATATTTACCATTGTTAGTAAGTGAGAATATTATTGTATATCAACAAGGGCAAATACTTCTCTCTGTGTGCAACAGTGATTATTTATTATAATTGGTTTATTTTATATTTAAGCATGTCTTTGCTTGCAGAATCTTCGACAGACTTTGGATGATCTGACTCGTAACGGGTTTTCAGTGGTGCGTCTATGACTTGTATAACTCTATAGTATCCCATGCCAAGACACATATCATCTTTTGTTGCCCATGGCATCCGTTAGGATGAAGCATGAGGATGCTAAGCTTCTATTTATGCATAAATGCTGAATTATCTTGTAATGCTTTTCCACTAATTTTATTTTATATGATTTTTGTTGAATGCCTGCATTTTGGTCATTACAGTGCATAGTGGAGGAGGTTCAGGGTCCAACTCAAGCACGATCTAGGAAAGGTCGCTTTATATCTGGGTAATTGAAAATTTTTACGTTGCCTGAAAGCTGGTAGTTTTTCCTTTTCTATCTTTTCTTATTTCGTTTCATTGACAGAGCTTTCTTTGATTAAACACCAGGAAGACAAATATCTTTCTGGCTAATGTTTTTATATTCTTTCCGGCACATCTACTTCTGTATAGATATTCATTTAGCTGTATTTGGCAATGCTTATATCGCATTAAGGTGGTATGCAGGTAGCAGTGGAGGGGAATGAATGATACCTGGCTGAAATATTTTATATGATGATTTGTTTTGGATTTTTAACGTTTGTTATCCTAAAATCCAATGCTTGTCGAAGTTGTCTTAGCTTGTTGATTCAAATTTCAGGCATGCTCATCCGGGAAATCCATATGTGTATGGACTTGTTGGAGTTGATCATGATCTTGACTTTCCAGAACCAATGCCTGTTGTTGGTATGTAACTTAGTTTTTTTTTCTTTTTGTCGTCAATATTAGCCAAATTGTCTGTTGCATACTATCTTTATGATCTTTTGAGATTGTATTCAGTGTGAATAGCTGCTTAGCGTGCTTTAACATATTGCTGTTTATCTTTACTTTCTGGGATTCTGGTTATCTTGAATTCTAATTTCTTCACTGAGAAATTAATATTTTTCATTAATTTTAATGATAAAGTGATATCCTCTTGGTTACTGTAATAATTTCTCAACAGCTCTGCTTATGAGCTGTTCGACTCTCATTTAAACTTTCTGCATGCAGACTCACAATTCTTCTTTGATATTGCTGTTTTTGACCACTTTGGAAGGTTTCATTCTGATGATACTTGGTTGTTTTAGGGATATCTCGTTCTGCAAGGGGTTATTGCATAAATTTTGTGCTTGAGACCATGAAGACGTATTCTTCAGAAGATGGTTTGACAGAAGAAGCTGTAGTTACAAAGCTTCGCACTTGTCAATACCATCATTTATTTCTGCACACATCTTTGAGGAAAAACTCTTCAGGTCTGCCCTCTTTCTTATGTCTTCATCATTTCATTTGAAGGCAAAATTATGGGAAATCATAGATACAATGCCGTGGCAAAATCCACTATTGTTCCATATGACTTGACATATCGGGAGGCCTCTCAGTTCGCTTTTATTTTATTTAAAAGTTATAATATCATTGAAAAGGTTTTCTGATGAAAATGGAAGTTGCAACTGGAATGGGAACATACTAAGAGGCTATAGATGGTTGCTATAGCTGTGGGAAGTTTAAATGCTATAGATATTGGTTTAAAGTAGACTGTTTTTAACCATTTCCTAGAGAAGTAGAAGGCTGATAGATAAATAACTTTTGGGAAGTCTCAAGGTGTTAAAAGTACCTATGTATTTTTTATTAGGATATAGACATAGTGCATCTATTTGTAGAATGGCCCAATTTGTAAGACAGGTAAAGTTGATACTCTCTTGGTCCTAAATATAAGATCCATTTTGTAGTGTAAATTATATGCAAAATGGGTCTTATATTTGGGACCAGAGGAGTATTATTTTTCTATATTCTATCTGCATTATTGTGTCTAGGGGAAAATATGTTCTAGACAGTTATAGACAGTTACAAGTCCTTTTTTTATGCAGTCTTAAAATGTGTAGGTTACAAATATGAGTATTGTCTTTACAGAGACATTCCGCTGGGGGGAATTTGGTGAGGGAGGCCTCCTCTGGGGAGAGTGTAGTTCACGACATTTTGAATGGTTTGATGGCAACCCCATCTCTGACCTTCTGGTTAAGGTTTGGATCTATAAGATGTCTCTTATGACTTGTATTTCTAATGTATGTGTGCATGAATGCAAGTATCGTTTGAAACAATCATTTGTTTCATTTTTGACTGTGTTAGGTGAAGGAGCTTTATGGTCTTGAGGATGAGGTTACATTCAGGAACACTACTGTTTCTTCAGAAAATAGGCCTCGACCTTTAACTCTGGGAACAGCAACGCAAATTGGTCAGTTTAAATTTCAGTGAAAGAATTACTGTTGGGGGATATTTTCTTTGCCCATAATTTCTTGTATTTCATTTTGCAGGTGCCATTCCAACGGAAGGGATACCTTATTTGTTGAAAATACTACTCTCGCCAAATTGTACTGGATTACCTGTGCTGTGAGTTTAAAATTTGTATATTTTCATTATTTAATATCTTTGGAAGTCATTCCAGGTTTATTATGGATCGCCTCTCCTTTTTACTTTCGCGTTGAGTGTTTTGATGACTTGCATTTTCATAAATATGGCAAAACCGTGTTCTTTTTCATTATTAATTTTTTTTATTTTAATTTTGAACTACAAATGACGGCTAGGGAAGTATTGCGCTTAAAGACTTTTATAATGCTTCATTTTGCATCATCCCGTTCGTTCTTATGCAAAATGTTCTACTGTTCTTTTTTTTTTTTTTTGGGGCTCTAAAGAGAGTTTGTAAGTGGAGAAGAGTGAAGAAGAACAATTATGCGCCACCAAACTATCCTGGCTGTTGGACGGGTTTATTTTGTCATGCCGATTAAAGTTGTAAACTTGCAATGGTGCAGATAGTTGTGTAATCATAATTTTCTAGATTTGGTGATTGAGTTTAAATTGCTCGTTGAAGTTCTTTTTACTTCTCTTTGATTCAATCTCTCCTATTTTTAGTAATTAATCCTGAGTCAATTGCAAGTTTCTTTCCGTCTTAATTTCTTTATTGTGGTCCTCAGGTATGTTAGAGATCTTCTGTTGAATCCTCCTGCCTATGAGATTGCATCAACAATTCAAGGTGTGTTGCAATATATTTGATTCTCGTTGGCATCTGCAATATAACTGTCAGTTCTTATTCTGTAAATTTTATCTTGTTTTGTACTGTAACTTAATCCTTTACTAATTCTTGCCCCTATCTTTTTGCAGCAATATGCAAACTCATGAGCAGTGTAACATGTTCAATCCCTGAATTCACCTGTGTTTCATCAGCAAAGGTTGTATTTAGGTTGCTTCTGTGAAGAGTAGATGAACTTCAGACTAAGCTTATTGCATTTAATTTCTCATAATAGCATATGCATCTCACTGATAGATTGGAGAGTGCTTGTACTCTTGTAGAAGATTTTCTGTGTGATTAAGTTTTAATCCTTCTGCAGTGGTGACACGTGAGAATTAAACAACGATTAAATTTGTGGTGAAACCCATATTAGTGCCAGGAAACATGATTTACGGTAACTGAATTTCAACAGGCAGATAAAACTTGTAAGTTCTGATAAAAATTCGAGGTTAAAGCAATGGCATGGGTGCAGAACTTAGGGGCTGAGCTCTTGTGCCTTTCTTCCTTGGTAATATTCTGAATATGATAGCTATAAGAATCCTAGACAACAATAAGCACCAAAAGCTTTTTCTTTTAATTCATAACGCCAAGACTTCTAGATAATTATAAAGTCCTAATACTTTGAAACTCCAAGTTACTTTGGAACGTTAATACTGAATAATTGGTAAATTTCTACAGTTGCTAATGGTGGCATGTGACAATAAGTCAAAACGTACAGATTGATCTAAAACATTTTTACTAGCATTGCAAAATCATTAGCTGATTGCATGCCCTGATTCTATTATGGGGAATCTGGTGATGAAAAGGATGAGATCCATGAGGAGAATAGAATGTAACAAGTGAACACAGCTGTATGGTGTGTGTCTGAAAACCATTCGCTTGCTCATTGTTAATAACAGTATGGAGACTTACGTAGGGGCAGTTTTTCCACACAAGGAAAATGGGGACTGTTGTTTGATATAAAAATCAACACTTTGCTTTGCTTTCGATACAGCAGTGAAAATACTGTGCTCTTTTTCCAATTATTCAAGCAGTCTCGACTCTTGATCTTTCAATATTATTCTGTTCATTATGCTATTGCTCTTGCTCCCCCTTATTTCAACTATTTTACTGTTTTCTACTGCAAGTGTACCTTCACGTGTGATTCTTCCCTTGTTTGTGCAGCTTGTGAAGCTACTTGGACTGAGGGAGGCCAATCATATTGAATTTTGCAGAATAAAGCATGCACTTGATGAAATACTGTTGATGTACAGAACCCCGGAGCTCAATGAGATATTGAAACTTTTGATTGATCCCACATGGGTGGCAACTGGCTTGAAAATTGATTTTGAGACCTTGGTGAGTCACCTAATTTGCATGGGTTACTTTGGCTTCGCCTTAATAAATGGAGAGCAACCATTTAATTTTTCTTCTTTAAGTAGGGAGTAATCAAGCTAAGCCTAGCCGACATGGCAAACGCTAGTTTGTTCAAGCATGTTGAATTAAGATATACTTGGGCTGGGCATGAACCTGAGCTTTTGTCAAGCTAAAATCTATGTCCATGCTTGGCTCCTCTAATGAATGAACTGAGCTTGAGCAATTTTGGATGACATCGTAAATGTGATGACTTCTTAGGCACATAGATTAATTAAGCATGAGAAAGATGGAATCTGATCAATACCATGAAGAGTGGCAATCTATGGCATATGATTGGAATGTGGGAAATTGTTGATTTGTTGAAGGGAAACAATCTTGTGGGGTGTAATTATTTATTGCCGCTGTTTGTTTCCTTCATTTTCTTAATACGGAAAGTATCTTAGGGATGTACTATTGTGTTTTTATCCCCAGCCTTGCTCTATATGCTGTATTTTAGCCAGGGCAGGATAACAAGAATGGATGTCTCACAGTGTCATTTTCCTTTATGAGCAATTAAATTCAAGGCCTATTGCAATAAATACTTCTATCATGCCTTTTTGTTGGCCTCTTTAGGATTGTGTTTGCTTGTAAATGTTTGTAATGTTTTCTATTTTCTAGGTTGCTGGATGTGAAGTGATCTCAGATATGATTGGTGAAACAATCTATCTGGATGGTGAAAATGATCAGAAAATCAATTCCTTTTCTGCCGTTCCTGATGAATTTTTTGAGGATATGGAGTCTTCTTGGAAAAGTCGAGTCAAAAGAAACCACATTGATGATGCATTTATTGAAGTGGAAAGAGCTGCTGAGGCCCTGTCTTTAGCTGTATGTATCTGTAGTTCAACTTGGCCTGTTTTTTGCAAAATGAAAAGGCCTTGATTCTAGATTGTGCATTCTTTTTCCTTCATGTGGATTCTCAAATGCTATGTAATTTATGTTTATGGTTTATTGTGTTTTGTTATTACATGATTTTTTGATAGTTAAGGAAATAGTTGCTTCTGGTGCTTCATAACTTCCGGCCTAAGGTGTATTTATGTGGTGATAGTATTATATAGATAGGGTTTGATGTGTCAGTGACTGTGTCATATTTTCATCATCATCGTCATCAATTTGTACATTTTGGTTTGGCCCCTTCTCTCTCCCTATCTTCTGCCCTCCAAATAGTTCAACAATTGTTATTTTTGTAGATGTTTCATTTGCATTATATTCGGAGGACTTTTTTCTTTCTTTCTTTCTTTTTTTTTTGTCTTTTTTTTTCCCCCGGCTGAAGATAGCACCTGTGCAGGTAGAGGAAGATTTTGTTCCTATAATCTCTAGGATAAAAGCTACTACGGCCCCACTTGGAGGCCCAAAGGGAGAAATATTGTATGCTCGGGAGCATGAAGCAGTTTGGTTTAAGGGCAAGCGCTTTGCTCCAACTGTCTGGGCTGGTAGCCCTGGGGAGGAACAAATTAAACAACTTAAACCGGCTTTAGATTCTAAAGGTAGAAAGGTTGGTGAGGAATGGTTTACCACAATTAAGGTAGAAGCTGCCTTAACTAGGTATGCTTAGGAGAACCATAGTCATTTTCTTTAGTTACTCAAATATTTATCTTTTTTCTGCTAATGATTATAAATGACGAGACGCTTATGTCAATTCAGGTACCATGAATCTGGTGAAAAAGCAAAAGCAAGAGTTTTAGAACTTTTAAGAGGGCTTTCTGCTGAACTTCAATCCAAGATAAACATCCTTGTATTTGCCTCCATGTTGCTTGTTATTGCCAAAGCACTATTCTCTCATGTTAGGTTTGTAAATGTTTATAATTGCTTCTGCTAGAGATATTATATATCTTCTCTTGGTGCACTCGTTTATTTGGCAAGATAAGATGAATTTGATTAACATGACTGTTATTAGATGTCTTCATTTGTAGGATATCATTGCAAATACATGCAAAGAATTTTGATGACAATATTTTGTCTGTGTTCTAGTGTGCTTTTGTTGGAACATGATATTAGGGCTTGAATTTATTTTAAGCTAAAAAGTTTCACTATAGCAGTTTTGCTTAACCAGTTAACTGTGATGGCAGCATTAATGAAGCGCTGTGAATCTTGTAGCAGAGAATCCTTGTTAGGCTGTAGTGTGTCACAGAAATGGTCGACTTCTATGGGAAGACAGTAAATCATACTTTCAATTTAATCATATAACTTCAAATGAAGTTGTGGCGGAAATTTTAACTTGAAAAAAAAAAAAAAAGTCCCTTAAATCAGATTGTGATACATTCTTTTACTTTATTTTGGAACGTGTGTAAAATATCAGATACTGATGCCTATCTTACTGAGTGGATGGATTCTGATTTTGATCATTGATGGCTCACAGTGAAGGAAGAAGAAGGAGATGGGTCTTTCCCACGCTGGCAGAACCCCATGGATTTGAGGTAGTAATTGATGAGTTGTTTAATGGAGAAAATTCCTCAAGACACTGGATGTTCTGTTAGTATTTTCACTTTGGTGTAATGAATGTTCTGTGTTCTCTGCCTCCTATTTGCATGTCTTGTATAGTTGTGTGACTTCCATGATATTTCAAGTCTTAATGGAAAGCTGCATCTTTTGAGGTAACTTGAAACCTAGTGTGCTTCTAAAAACATGCCCGCAACTTGCTTTTACAGCAAATGGTAAAATCTTAACAGCTTCACTGTTGTTTATTTTACTAGGAAGTTAAAAGTCTTATAGCTATAGCTGTAGGACTCTAATAATATGGGATTTGGCAATATTTCTCTAGGGATTGAAATCATAATTGAATCAGTTGCTGGTTGCTTGTGACTATAAAAACTAAAAGAGTACCTACAATGATCCGTAAATCTGAATGTTTTCTTCCTTACGGGCTTAGACCTGAGTCTAGGAATTGAAATTTGCCAAGATAAAGCTGGAGACGCATACCATTTTTTGCAACGCGTTGACACTATTACACCATACTCTGCATTTTTTCAGCCAAAATGCATTTGCGTTTGTTGGTGTCTATGCATGTGCTCCTTTTGGCAGAGGCATGCTCACGCAAATCTCTGATAAACACATAAAAATTAGGAAGTAGGTGAACTTGCTTAGTTGTCATTCAGCATATCTTCTTTCAAGCAAATTGTATATATGGATTTCTTGTAGGTGGATCACTAAAGGGATTTTTATGGATTTGTTGGTTGTGGTGTATAAATATCTATCAGACTTCATTTAATAAAGCATAGAAACTAAACCTCCTTCGTCTGTGATCCAAAATCACAGTTTATTATTGAGAACTTGTTTTAAGTAGCGGTTACACTTTTGTTGCAGAATGCTAAGACGGTGGGTGAAACCAATAGACTGAAGATAGTTGACCTGTTACCATATTGGTTCAACGTAGCAGAAGGAGGTGCTGTGCATAATACTGTTGATATGCAGTCATTGTTTCTCTTGACTGGACCAAATGGTGGTGGTAAATCAAGCTTACTTCGATCAATTTGTGCTGCTTCACTTCTTGGGATATGCGGATTCATGGTTCCTGCAAAGTCAGCCCTGATTCCTCATTTTGATTCTATCATGCTTCACATGAAGTCGTTCGATAGCCCTGCTGATGGGAAAAGTTCATTTCAGGTTTGGAACTGATTCATCCTTTGCATGTATGGAATATTTATATAATTTCAAAGTAATCAATGTAAAGCGTGCTGAGGCTCGGCTTCTGGAAAAGACCATGTGTACTGTGTAACTTACCCCAGCCTACTTATTAAGGCTGACAAACTGCCTGAAACCTGTCACCACTAGACCACATTTAGTGGTTTCAAGCCTTCACGTGCTATAGTTTTAACTGCTGGTGTTGATGACTTTAAAAACCCTCATTTACTGCCATTAATATAGCCAGATTTTCATAGTTCCCTTCAAACGTTGGAAAGTACTGTCTAAATCAAATCCCTAAATAATAGTTGTCATGACAATCTATTCATGGTTATTTGTCTAATTAAAATGCCTATAATGCATGCCCAATTGTTTCAAACCCTTTTTTGTGAATGACATCAACTTAATGCTGGAGAATTGCTGAATTCTCCATCAATTTATAATCAATCATTTTTACCAAACTTACATCTTCTATCTTCAGAATGCGGCGTGACAAAGGCTAGGTCATGGTGGGGTCCTTAGGCTCATCAGACCAGTGCTCTCGTGTCTGTATGAACATTAATAGTGTT